ACCTTTGTGCTTTGTGGGGTTGGGAAGCTACCTTTGATGTCTTCTCTTCCTCACGTGACCCAGCACAGAACCTGCAGACAGCAATTAATTGATAGACACCTGTTGATTCATTGGCTTCTGGAATTGGGAGAACATAGCTCAGACAGTGCCTGCCACCGGCCAAGGCTGTGTCAGCAGCAGAGAGAGGATGCAATTAAACTCCAATCTGAAATCCCCATTAATTGTGAGGAGTTGATTTCCTTGGGGTGGGGACAGAAATAAAACCAAAAAGAATCTGGATGAGTTAAAATGTGCAGGACGTAGAGCATTTCATCTTCCAGAATGAATATTTTATTCTCCTGTCAAGAGGCCAATGATAATGGCAATAAAAGAAAACATAAGTGATGGTGGTAAGGATTATGCAGCAATTTAGGAAGCAGCCGGTTATATATATTTATGGACCTAAATGGCTGGAAAACCCTTCACACCCGAGGACTTAATGCAGAACTTGGAAAGCACTCCGAGGCTGAGTGGATCGCCATGGGAAGCTGTTATTTATGGACTGTCCTACCATGTATTAAGCAATTCGGTGGCCTAGACTGTTGTTAAAAAATAAAGAACAAACGGGTTCGATGGGCAAATTGTGCTTTTCTGGGTGGGGGAGCCATGGCTGTCTTGTAATGCTGTGTTAGAAGAATTTGATAAAAGGCGATGTTTTATAGGGATGATATTAAATATGATCGAGTGAGAAACTGCTGGAAGATTACAGAAGCCTCCAGATATACAGCTGCTGGTGCCACCACGTGTGGGGAAGAAAGCAGAGTCTGTTCTGCTGCTGTCGTCAGCCTCTGAGGGGCCAGGGGGCAGCGCTTCCTCACTGCCTGCACTTTTACTTTGTGACCTGCCCCCACCCTCCTGGCGCCTGTGTCCTTAAGAGAGTTGCTTTGTCCACTCTTTCTGCCTGAGAACTTGATTTCATTAGATTGTCTCAATGCTCTGTCCTTGGGGCATCTGAGGAACCTCTCTGTGACTCGGTCTCCTCTTTTGAAAAGTGGGGGCTCATAGGACCCTTCCAGTGGGAGGCTAAACAGAGGGCTACAGAGCGATGCAGGTGCATGGGTGAGACAGAACACAAATCAGGACAACTGAAAAAAGGGTGCTCCGCAGCCATAGGAATCGGAACAGGAGGAAGATGTGCAAACTTCCAGGCTCATGGAGGAGTTTCTGAAGATGGGGTTTCTCAGTCTTAAACAGGCATCGGATTCACCTAGGAGTCTTGTAAAATGCAAACACTGATTGTTATGCCTGGGGTGGGTGGGGGGAGGGCTGAGCGTCTGCATTTCTGTCAAGGTCCTAGAAGATGCTGATGCTCCTGGTCTGGGGACCACACTTTTGAGTAGCAAGTCTTAGGAGACAGTAAAAATTAGAACCCGCAGTCTTTGAACTTCCTGTGAGAATTACATACCTGTGCCAGTGAGGTTTGGTTTTAGCTGCATGAAAGAGAAAATCCAAATGACTTTGGATTTAAGCGAGTGAGGGAGATAGATTGTAGGTCTCCCCAGTGAGAATCCCAGGGTGGGCAGTACAGGGCTGGTGCAGGGATTCCCTGAGACCCAGGCTCTTTCCTTCTGCTCCATCATCCTGGTCTGCTGGCATTCATCCTCATGGTTGCCAGAGAGCTGCTGTACCTCAGGCATCACAGCTAAATTCCAGGCGGGAAGCAGAGGGAAGAGGCTAATAAGGTCTTTTGATGTGCTCCAGGGTGCTCCACTTACCAGCTTCTACCTCCTTCTCACTGGCCAGAGCTGGCTTGAGATTTGCATTTCTAACAAGTTCCCAGAAGATACTGGTGCTGCTGGTCTGTGGACCACACTTGGAGTAGCAAAGTTGTAGGAGACAGTAAAAATTAGAATCATCTGTCATGGAGGTTCTAATTTTTAGTAGCCCCCATCGGACCTACTCAATCATAATTTGCATTTTAACAAGATTCCTAGGTGAATCCGATGCCTATTTAAGACTGAGGAAACCCATCTTGAGCAACTCTTCCACATACCAGGAAGTTTGACACCTTCCTCCTGTTCCAGTTCCTATGGCTGCAGACACCCTTTCTCCAGGAGGCCCCAATTTGTCTCACCCATGCACCCACATTGCTTTGCATCCCTCTGTTTAGCTTCCCACTGGAAGGGTCCTATGAACCCCCACTTTTTCTATTTATTTTTATTTATTTAATTTTTGTTTTAGAGGGAGTCTTGTTCTGTTGCCCAGGCTGGAGAGCAATGGTGCGATCTAGGCTCATTGCAACCTATGCATCCCAGGTTCAAGTGATTCTCCTGCTTCAGCCTCCTGAGTTGGGATTACAGGCACACCTGGATAATTTTTGTACTTTTAGTAGAGACGGGGTTTTGCCATGTTGCCCAGGCTGGTCTCGAACTCCTGACCTCCGGTGATCCACCTGCCTCAGCCTCCCAAAGTGTTGGGATTACAGGTTTGAGCCACCACACCTGGCAGAACTCCTACTTTTAAGAAGAGGAGACAGAGTCACAGAGTGGCTCCTCAGATGCCCTAAGTACAGAGTATTGAGACAATCAAATGAAAAAGATGAATCCTGAGACAGTGGTTTGCTCAGCAATCACATGTCTACTGCACACCTACCATGTGGCAGGCACTGGAGATACAAATACAAAAAGATACAGATTCTGTGTTCAAGAAGCCTCTAGAACTCCTGACATGCAAACAAGCAAAAGAGTGTTTGAAGAGTGGTGCTCTCACAGCCATGATGTACAGGGAAACTGGAGAGAGACCAGGCAGATGAAGCCCGTTAGCTGAACCTGGGATGTGTGCTGGGAAGACGGCCCAGCTTGT